TTGAATAATGTTTTGTGTGGTCTTTGGATATTAGATGAGCCTATTCGAAATCGTGTGTTATGCTCGTGTTTATAGGATTTTTTCTTTTTATTACAATACTTATGATATAAGGTGGTGGCATGTAAGAAATAAAGTTGTCTTGTGTCAAGTATCCCTGTTTCTTGATATAAGTTGTTCGTTGGATATAATCTTGGCTTATGGAAAATGGCTTTCAAAACAGTTTTTTGTGCTATATTCAGGTCAGAAATATATGTCTTGCAGGCGGCACCCCAGGCTGTGATGTCGTATATTATATGGGTTTCAACTAAGGCATGGTATAGGATTCGCAGATAACTTTCTGTAAGAATGTTAGCAAGCATTTTGAGTTTATAGGCAACATTTCTATTTTTTTTGATAACATATTTAATCTGGTTATCCCACCTTAGATGTGAGTCCATACATATTCCAAGATATTTCAAAGTGTTAACTCTATCGATTTTGGTCTTTTGGCCATGATAATTAACGGAAATTTGTTCGAAGGTAGGTAAACATTTTGAATAGGATGTAAATGCAACAAATTTTGTTTTTTTGAAGTTAACTGTTAAAATTTTAGTATCAAACCAGTCAATGATCCTTATAAAATCCTTTTCAGCTATTTGCTTCAGTGTGCTCCAGTCATCAGCTTTATATAATACGAGGGTGTCATCTGCAAAACATATAATCTTTCCAGAACTGTTAATTTTGAATAAGTCATTTAAGTAGAGACTAAATAATAGTGTGTGCCCGACTTGAAAGGTAATTTTTTAAAAGGATTTGTGACGCTCCCCTAAATCCTAATCTTTCCATAACTTTCAGAAGCTCGACATGGTTAACCGTATCAAAGGCTTTTTTTAGATCAACAAAGATACCAATAGTAGGTATCTTTTTGTTGACATTAGAGTTAGTTTCATCCATTGCAGCCAAAATTGCATCTGTAGTAGATTTTCCTTTTCTAAATCCATATTGGTCAGAACATATAATTTTGTTTTTGTCCAAAAATTGTAATATCCTTTCTTCTAGTAATTTTTCGAAAATTTGACTATATTCGATAGTACTGATATGGGTCTATAATTTGATGTGTCCATTCTGTCACCGCTTTTATAAACTGGAGTGATAACAGTTGTTTTAAGTGCATCAGGACAAATTCCAGATTGGAAACACCAATTAATGACGTAAGAAAGTGGTTCGGCTAAGTCGTAGGCTATTATTTTTAAATGGTCACCTTTGATACCATCTACACCAGGACTTCTTTGGTTTTAAGTGATAGGACAGCTTCTTGTACTTCAATCGGACTAACGCTTTCTAAAAAGAATGAATTGGGAAGTTGGGTTTTTGGGAACTTTCGTTCGAAACCTTTTTTTTAATACTGGATGCTAAATTTTTTCCAGCATTAGTGAAAAAATTTAAGAATGCATCGGATATTTGTCATTTATCTGTTAATATTGTTCCATCACGATTCTTAATTTCATCAATATTTGGCTTCTCTTGAACGTCATTGTTAGTTAAGTGATCGACAACTGACCACAGTTTTCGTGGATCAGATTTGGCATCTTGTAATTTTTTTAGATAAAATTGGCGTTTTGCTTCTCTAACTAGATTGATAAAAATATTTTTATATTCATTATATTTATGGGAGGTATCTGCACATGGCGATGCTTTCATTATATAACAAAGAAATTTTGAACCTTAAACGTCAAAAACAAACGAAGTTTGAGCGATTTTTGTTTGCTTCGAGGTCTTTCCCCTAGCTCCGCCGCCACTGAAACGATTTTTTAAAAACTACAAAGCTTTTTCGCCCTTGGGATAGTCGTAACTTAGAGTGAAAATTTCATCCAAAATGTGATGTACATGTCATATAATATGCAAAAAACATATCGTCGGACATCTGACAATACCTGCTATATGCAGGAACCCTAATTTTACAGGGGACAAAAAATCCTTATCAATTTTATACCAGCGGTCTTAAGACTCTACAACTTTGGTCACAAAAAATAAATGACGTTTAACACATATTTAATGCGATTTTATCTAAATGAAGCTCTAATTGAAAAAATTAGTGCAGTTAGCTGATATTTCTGCTAACTTTCTTTGCAGTTAGCAGATATTGTACTACGATGCATAGATGGAGTTAGTGAGATTCGTGTTAGAAAAACTGTATCATAACTGTAAATAGAATGTATTCTCAGTTCCACGTTAAATGAATGTTCAGCTTCTTTCCTTGACATATTACAAATTGTCGTAAAACATGTGACAGTCCTTAGATATAACACTTATAATCTAAAATGACGGGTAGCTGTTTTGGTCTCATGGGCAACTCCTGAGGCTCTACACTGAAGTCCAGTTTCACTTCAATTTTTCCATCGGGATTATAACATAGTACTTTGATGTCCGTGACTACATTGTCTCTGCCTGGTCTAATTGTTGAGTATCGCTGTACCTCTGTTCGAGAGTAGTCCTTGAAGAAGTCGTAACTCAATTGGATCACCTCATATGGCTCTGGTTTTGTCCTAGCTTCTTTTGACACCTTAACATAGTCATTTGATAACTCAATAACTCTATTCCTCAGTTTTCTTTAAATGCAACTGTGTACAGAGTCACATTTCATTTGGGTGTGTCCTTTGGTGAGATATTTCTGAGAAATCACAACGTCGTGTTTCATTGCAAAGTTAAGCAAAATAGCACGCGTAATTGTCAGGTAGCTGGAATTGCCGCTGACTGACAGACGATTTGCCAGCGGTAAGTATTGTTTTGGCTGAATAATCCAAAAACTGAATTTTTCTGCAGTTAGCGGACTCTATCACAATGTACGCTGTAGATGAAGAAAAATGTGCATATACCTCAAATTGGGCAAAAATGTCAGATAGCAGGTATTGTCAGATGTCCAACGATATCTCATTTTAGAAATTTTTGCGATTACAATACTTCCTCGCCAGTAAAGGGAAGTGAAAATTTCGTTGAAAAAATTGTCGCACTAGGTTTTCGCTTCACCCAATAGGTCCAGCAGTTTTTGACATATCGACATACAAATTTGGATTCCAAGAGGATGAGGAGTTACGTTCTATTTTTCAACTTTGTATGTAGAAGACACTAATTACAACACATTTCATGCTATAACTTTGTTGCTAGTGACAGCTCACTATCATTATCTTCACGAATTTAATTCCCGATTGATTCTGGCACATTTATACGGCCCACCCTGTACACAAAATGTGGTTGTATTTTAATTCTTCATACTTTTATCACCAAGAGAATTCGAAATAGTGCGTTATCAGTTGGATGCTCAAAAAATCAAACAGACTTTCTGATATCGGGTCTGTTGACCCGTCGTTTGACCGAAGATTAGCTTGTATTAAATAATTTTTATAATATCGTATACTATGTGACTGTAAATGAGAGCACACGTATTAGGGTCAGAGAATGGAATAAATCATTATTTTTGACACAATGGAATATACAGGGTGTTTTCAGAGCATGAGGCAAAAATTCAAGAGGTGATTCTGGGGACTATTCTGTTGACGTGTCGTTTGACCAAAGATTATTAGCTTATATTAAATTGTTTATTCATTTATACTCTACAGGGTGTTTTCAGAACGTGAGGCAGAAATTCAAGAGATGATTCTGCAATTAGGCGTTAAAGTTTTGGAAATGATAAAAAATTAATTTTAGACCAAAAACGATTTTAATTAATGGCATACTAAAGGCTTGTAACGCTTCCTTTCCGCAAAAAGTCCAGAAAAGATGGAATGAAATAAAGATTCCAACTTTTCTGCACAATCACAGAAAGGGGGTTAGCATTAGCTTCCGGTAGCTCAGTCGGTGGCATGAAGACATCTACAGGCGTGTAGCTGTGTGTCGACCATGGAGGATAGAAGAACAAACAGAACACAAAAATTTAACAGATTTTATTTAACAAAAAAGCATTTTCATTACATTACAATTTTAAAGAACAAAACAAGTTTTAAATCTTTGGCACTGCTATAAAACTATACACTTATCTTTCGCTGGTCCATTTTGACTGGACTGAAGCTAGGATGGCCAGGTGCTTGAAGTGGAGGTCCCAGTTATGAGAGGTGACCTCACATTTAGTGGCTTCAAAACCAGTTGTAGGCGAAGTTGAACTTAAAGGTGATAGCGCTGCCAAGGCACATGCATGGGTGAAGTGATAGGCCAAGCAATGCAAAGTCAAAGACAAAGGCAAAAGCAAAGTCAAAGACAAAGGCAAAGGGAAAGGGAAAGAGAAAGGGAAAGGGAAAGGGAAAGGGGGTGGCCCCAATCATTTTGTCCTATTCGGACACACATTCTACAAAATTCTAGCACATGACCTCATGCTACACAGATCAAAATTCTTAGCTCTTGTTAGATCGGCGGCTCAAGTGAAAAGGAAACGCGAGGAAGATCGCAGATCAGGAACTCCGCATCAAGCGCTCAAAGCGGAAAATTTTCCAAGCAAAAAAGCTAGAGATGGGATTAATGATTTGCGATTCTGAAGTGATTTAATAAATACGATCGGACGGTGAAACCGTTACAGGCTTTAAATATGTATATATAATAAACACTAAACAATTTATTAGTTATATGATCGTAATTGTTTATTTTTCTAAAATCTAGATTTTTCATATTTAGTGGGTTCCTTTCTGGAAAAATCCGTCTAATTTGTCGTCTGATACTTTTTAAAATACCGCTCCATTTCGGAGATTCCAGCCCCTAAAGAACAGTACTGACGGTTGATTTTTCAAAACCTAAAAGCTTTCACAAGCTTCAACAAAATTTTGACAGAGTAATAACCAGTTTGGGCATTGCATGATGGTTTTCACGGGAAACGCTTAACACCAGCGCACGACGTTCAAAGGACAACATTTTCTTGGAATAATTTGAAATATAACCCTTTGTAATAGTACAATGCTTATATAAAATGATGTCATGAAGCATCACTACCGTACTTCGGTTGAACGTTTCATCTGACATTGATGTATTTTTTACAGTATTGTGACCATTGCGATCCAGATAAACCTGACAAGAGACATCCTCCGGAGTATGCTGTGGACGGTATGGAAACATGGTGGCAAAGTCCGCCCTTATCGAGAGGAATGAAGTACAATGAAGTTAATTTGACCATAGAACTGGGACAGGTAAGATCTAACGTGGAAGTAATGTTAGCGTTGAATCAAACATTACTGCAATCATCCTTCTAAAATTACATAAAGCACATATGATAACTAAGCCAAGCTTAGAATACTGCTCTCATGACTCGTGGCTAGACCAGTTGTAATGTATTGTTGAGAGAAAAATATCAGACTTCCCCGCTTTCTGAACATACTTCATGCTTTAGGTAGAATGTCACATTTCACCCTATTAGTTGTTTTTCTACCAATCCTCGTGACAAGTTCATTCATTCACTATTCTACCGAAGTTCTGAAGCAGTAAAATCTAGGATTCGATGTTTCAAATCGACATAGGAATAATACATTACAAAGAATGTTACGATTTCTGAATCCAGTTTTTGAATTCTATCTGAGGTCGGAACATCCTTGTGGTAAGCATATCAACGATATAGAGACCACTAATAATGTCTATAATAACGTAGCTCAGCTAAAGTTTCCCGAGGCAGCTTTTTCTAAATTATTTTTCAGAAGAATGTGCAGCCAACAGGGAAACCAGGCTCCATAATATACTAAGTTACATATAAATCCGAACACCCAGTTTAAATGGTTTTATTTTAATAAAATTTTGTATAAGTACTTAATGAAGCATAATAAGTAAATGATAAAAATTTCAAAATGATTGCACTGCTTTAGAGCCCTTTGACCTTTAATAATGTGTGGATGCACCCTGATGTGCTACGCATTCTCCAACGCGCCTAGGCATGCTTCTGATCAGGTGGTCAATGTCCTCCTGTGGTATCTCATTCCAGGCAACCACCAACTCTTCTCGAAGTACTTCTAGAGTCTGAGGAGGACGTTGCAAATTGAGCAATCTCCTACCCATCATATCCCACACGTGCTCAATTGGGGATAAGTCGGGAGATCTTGGTGGCCATGGTAACAATGTGAGATCATTATGTTGAAAGAAAGAAAGAAGACTCTTGCAACATGTGGTCGGGTATTATCTTGTTGGAAAGTTGGATCTGCCAGGGTGTCAAGATAGGGTAAAAGATGGGGTTCTAGAACTTCGTGGATATAACACTGCGCGTTCATGTTACCTCTGATGAAGATTAAAGGTGACCTGGAACCATAAGCTATAGCACCCCAAACCATAACTCCAACAGTGTGATGAACATGTCTTTCAACAAAAAACTGTGGATTCCTCCTTTCACCACGTCGCCTTCTAACCCTGGCACGACCATCGTGCATGCCTAAACAAAATCGAGACTCATCACTAAAGACAATACTGTTCCATTCCTGATCCCAGAGTGACCGTTGTCTGCACCACTCAAGGCGATTACGTCGGTGTTCTCGAGTTAAAGGGAGGACCCAGTGTGGCCGGTATGAAAACAAGCCAAAACTTCTCATTCGTCGGTAAACACTTCGCAAGCCAATAGGTCTTCCGTGTTCTGCAAACCATTCATTTGCAATGGACCTGGTAGTGGAGAAACGGTCCCTTAAGGTCAATAATCTTAGGCGGCGATCTTCACGGTCTGTTGTTCTACGGCGGCGTCCAGTGCCCTTTGCTCTTTGCGTACGGCCTTCTCGAAGCCATGCCTGACAACACCTAACCACAGTGTCTACACTTCTTTGCACTCTAACTGCAATTGCCCGAAAAGAAAGTCCAGCTTCCCGAAGTCCCACTATACGGCCCCTATCAAACTCACTAAGTTGACGAAATCGTACAGGTCTCCGTACTCTAGGCATCGTAACCGATCGCAAAGGATGTCAAGAACCAAAATCCGCCAACGTTGATTTTATACTGCGGCTGAAATATTCATTTTTAGAGCGTTAGTGAATTAAAAAAAAGCAGTATAAAAACCGGAATGTCCAACTGATAAGGCTGAACATTTTTTCACTTGTTATTTACACTAAGATAAATACATTCACCAACTTTTATTAAAATAAAACCATTTAAACTGGGTGTTCGGATTTATATGTCACTTAGTATACGTATAAGATGTATAACTGTTTTAGGGTTTCTTACTTTATAAAAGTGTGAGACTACATTGTTAACAATATCTCAAAACACCATCTGACCAGCATCTGTTCATTTTATGACACTAGGACCACTGACCTAAGCAATAGCAATAATACCTATTGTATTTGTGCAGTCTACCCACTTGGAGATTAACAGCTTTTCTATTTCAAGTACCGTATAATGAAGGTTATAGACTTTCCGAGAAATCATGTGATACACTGGTCACTACTACTAACTGGAACTTAAGTGTACCCCAGTACCCAAGTACGTAATTTTTGAATAATGGGCGCACCAACGATTTATTGCAATATTTCCCTTGGGGGAGGGCATGATGATGCTGCCGACCATCCTCCCCCGTGCTCTTCAATTTTTAAATATTAACATTTGTGGTCTCGGGCGCGCTGATGCAGCCTCTGCCGTCCTAGGACGCCTTTTGCTCGTAAATGTACAGTACTGTCCTTTGGAAGCATTAAGCTGTACAAAATTGTTGCGTCCCCCAGTAGTGATAACCTACAAGTTTCTAGTCCGAGAGGAAGTTGCTGCCAGTCATCTTTTTTCCAGCTCACCGTCAGAGATCGGCTTGTCGCTCTGAATTCCTGCATGTAGAGTGCTGTCATCCGCAAAGCTGTGGTTTGGATTGATCATACAGGAAAGGAGGTCGTTGATATGTAAGAGGAATAGTGTCGGAGCCATCCCTGGGGAACAATCGCGTTGAAGTTGTGGGGTGATTACGACGGATATCCTGCGGCCAGATAGAAAGTCAGCGACCCTTCTGCAAAGCTTCTCTGGAAGGCCATAGGATGAAAGTTTGCATACGAGGGCAACATGCCACAGTTGATTAAATGCTTTCGTGATATCAAAAGCAATGACATGAGCCTCACCATAATAGTGGATGAGCTTACTCCACAATTGCGTGACGTGAGCTAGGACGTCCCCTGTGGATCGCTGGTGCAGGAAACCTTACTACTTATCTGTCGCTAATCAAGCCTTACTTATTACAGAGCGGGCCTGTAGTTGTAGGGTCGGTCTTAGATTCCTTTTTTGGGATTGCTTGGACATGAGCAAATTTATAGTTTTCTGGGAAGGTGCCGGATTCGTAAGATATCTGGCAGAGACCCGAAAGAACTGGAGCAAGCTCCGCTTCACACCTGTTCAAAACAACGACAGGACCAGAGCACCCGTCTTACGATCTTATGCCTCCCGCATAGTGTAGTGAGCCCTTTGAATTAAAGGCACTCGAGCGTTGGGGGGACGTCCATGGTAGAGTTGGCAGCAAAGATATTGCCAAGCACTTCCTTAGCCTTTGAGTCGGTTACAATCGTTCTGTCCTGGCACGTAAATGGTGGAAGTTCCTTTCAATCTGCCTGGTCAGCGTCCAGAAAGACCGACTGCGATTACGCTGCCTAATCCAGATTTTTTATATTTATGTATTGTGTTTTTAAGCCTTGTCTCTAGTTAGGTCTGTTTGGTTTGTCTTCAAAAAAGTACTTCAAATTGTGAATTGTAACTTGTTAAATTGGAATAAAGTACCTTTGCAGGTATGCTCTATTCCTGTGGTCACACGGGACACGGGTCTAGTGCCCCACCTGAAGAGAGCCTTGATGTGCCTAAAAGTCTAAATGTTTGAGGTATCCCTCCCCCGCTGTCAAGTTTTCCTTAATGACAAAAAGAGGCCCCGAATTTCGCTTTGGCTTGGGTCCTTCTAGCTGAAGGCCCCGAACTTCCCGTATATGTGACCAGGAGTCCCTACTCACTTTGGCCTAAGATATTAATGAATATTTGAAAACAATCACATGTTGCAAATCATTTTGCACATCGATTTCTGTTATAAACTACCATAATAAACAAATGTTTGAAGTTACCGTTAACCACCGCCACTTATGGTACATTCAACCCTATCGGACAAATGATTACTGAGAAAATTACTCCTCTCGCTCTAGCGAATCGAATAAATTATGCCTTTTGACTATGAATTAATGGTTATTCCAGAAGACCAGTGGGACTCAAAGAATAAATATTCATTCAAACCAATCAAATAATAAGGAATAGTAACAATACCTTTTTTGCTCTGGAAGACTGCAAAAGGATACACCCATTTTTTTAATACTTTGCAAAATCATATTCGAGTTATCCAAAAATTGAATTTCTAAGAAACAGCCGTCAATTTAGTACCTTCAAGATAATTATAAATACAGAAATAGCATCGCAAAAGTTAAACATCAAAGAGTGAACGAACTGTTCATTGCTTCTGATGAAAAGGCCTGTGTAGATATGAATTAACGTACAGCAACGTTCTAATATTACAGCACATATAATCCTTAAATTAAACTTGAGTTTATGAGTGAACATTGGCTCATCATGGCAGTGATGTAACAATTAAAACAGACAACGAAAATAAAAATGGTTAGGTAGATCGATTCAATACTTCCCACACAATGTAATAAATCCATCAAAGAATTTTAGTACAAAACATTCTGAGCATCATGGGCGATAAGTAAACCTATTACGAATTAACAAATTAGTGGTTATATTTCAGTTAAAACAGAAGTAAAAAAAAACTAACTACATGAATAAAGGAAAAATAATGAATGAGAACTTGCCTATAGTCAACGCCAAACAAAGTGGCGTGCACGTCATCAAGGTGGGTGTGTTGAAAAATTTACATTGTTGCCAAACTTTTTGTAAAATAATAAAATTTATTATTTACATATCTAGGTTTATAAGCAATATTAACCTCAAATGAGAACAAAAATAATAGTATAATAAAATTATAGATCTGTACTTGCATAATCATTAAGTATGACAATTATTGATCAGATGACACTATGAAACTACCATATTTAATTGATAGCTTAAAGGTACTGAATAAAAATCCAAATGGGGTCCTCCAAATTTTATGCATGGTATTTATTTTACAGAATTCATACAGAAAAATGCATTCTAAAATTAGGTAAGCTACTGGTGTAAGCTTTTTCTGTACAATAAAGTTAGTCGGAGTTTCTTTCTT